GGCCTCCCAAAGTGCTGGGATTACAGGCTTGAGCCACCGCGCCCGGCCGAGTTTTTTTTTTTTTTGAGACATAGTCTCACTTTGTCCCCTAGACTGGAGTGCAGTGGCACGATCTTGGCTCCCTGCAACCTCTGCCTCCTGAGTTCAAGCGATTCTCCTGCGTCAGCCTCCTGAGTAGCTGGGACTACGTGTCACTACACCTGGCTAACTTTGACATTTTTAATAGAGGCGGAGTTTCACCTTGTTGGCTAGGCTGGTCTCAAACTCCTGACAGGTGATCCGCCTGCCTCAGCCTCCCAAAGTGTTGGGATTACAGGCGTGAGTCACTGCACCCAGCCGTGAATTGTTTTTATATGCCTTTCTTTCAGAAAATAAAATGTGCAGCCATTTGATCTTTAAGACAGAAAAGTTAGGGAATGGTTATTTACATTGTAAGAGGAATCTTTGCTTTGTAAAAGGGTGTAGGCAGAGGCTGGTTTAGCTGTAACCCAAACAACCCAGGGAAGGCTCAGGGCACTCAAGCCTATCCGCTAGTTACATTATAGGGTGTTTTCAACACTGCTTATTTATAGAGTGTTGTCCAGATACACTTATGGCTGTGTGAAACTTGCATTTACATATAATACATTCTGCTTGTAAGAGTTTCCTCTTCCTGAAAATGAGAGGTTGAGAATACATCACTCTTGTGACTATGGTCTGTACTAAAAAAAAAAAAAAAAAAGTAATTGAGATCAAGCTAGACGTGGGGAAATACATTTCCTGCTGATTGCCTCTCTCTCTTTTTCTTCTCACCAGGCACAGTGGCTCACGCCTACAATCCCAGCACTTTGGGAGGCTGAGGTGGGTGGATCACAAGGTCAGGAGTTCGAGACCAGCCTGGCCAACATGGTGAAACCCCATCTCTACTAAAAAAAAACACAAAAAATTAGCCGGGCATGGTGGTACGAGCCTGTAGTCCCAGCTACTTGGGAGGCTGAGGCAGGGGAATCACTTGAACACGGGAGGCAGAGATTGCAGTGAGCCAAGATCATACCACTGCATGCCAGCCTGGTGACAGAGTGAGATTCCGTCTCATAAAAAAAAAAAAATAAAAAGTGTTCTTTTTCTTCTCTTTGTCAGGGTTAAAACCTTCCAGTTGGCTGGGCACAGTGGCTCAGGCCTGTAATCCAGCACTTTGGGAGGCCATGAGGTGTAGATTGCTTGAGCTCAGGAGTTAGAGACCAGCCTGGGCAACATGGTGACACCCCATCTCTACTAAAAATACAAAAATCAGCTGGGCATGATGGTGTGTGCCTGAAATCCCAGCTACTCAGGAGGCTGAGGCAGGAGAATCACTTGAACCAGGGAGGTGGAGGTTGCAGTGAGCTTAGACCACGCCACTGTACGTCAGCTACTTGGGAGGCTGAGGAAAGAGCATCGCTTGAACCTGGGAGGCAGAGGTTGCAGTGAGCTGAGATTGCGCCACTGCACTTCAACCTGGTGACAGAGAGAGACTCTGTCTCAAAAAACAAAAACAAAATTAACCAGGCATGGTGGTGGGCACCTGTAATCCCAGCTGCTCCAGAGGAGGAGAATCACTTGAGCTGGAAAGGTGGAGGTCGAAGTGAGCCTGGGCAACAGACCTTGACTCAAAAAAAAACAAAAACAAAAAACAACTCCTGATATTCTATAGTGCTAGAAATAGATTTGATGGTGGCGCTGCCCTCTAGGAACTGAAAATGGAATGCAAGAGGCCAGACTAACATACCAGTCACACACTAGGATAGAGACAACCAGTGTGATTTACAGTGCCCAGAGAAGGAGCCCTAGCATATTTCTCCAGCTTATTTGGATGGTGTCCAATTTTTTTTTCGCATTTTAAAATAAAACGAAGGACAAGGCCTTCCATTCCAAAATATAAAATTTCATTTTTAATGCATATTTCTTTATCTCAATTGTCTTTTGCATTTTCCCCATTTGGCACAGGAGCACATTATTCTAAGTGTAAGTGGTAGATAACAGGTATTTTGAAGAGAAAATTTCGATAGCGAAAACAATTTTTTTTTAAGGAGTCTCGGCTCACTGCAACCTCTGCCTCCCAGGTTCAAGCGATTCTCCTGCCTCAGCCTCCCGAGTAGCTGGGACTACAGGCTCGTGTCACCATGCCCAGTTAACTTTTTGTATTTTTAGTGGAGACGGTGTTTCACCATGTTGGCCAGGATGGTCTTGATTTCTTGACCTCGTGATCCGCTCGCCTCGGCCTCCCAAAGTGCTGGGATTACAGGCATGATCCACTGCGCCCGGATGCAAAAACAGTTTTTAAGGAAATTTTGAAGGAAGAAGTCAGGCAGAGGCCCCAAAGGTCAAATTACAGGCCAGGCCTGCACAACTGAGAAAACGAGAAAGTACCACTTTCCCATTTCCAAATATTATAACCAACATTTCTCTATCCGATTCTGAAAACCCAGTAAGAAAGACAAGGCAGATGGTTTTATTCCCATTTCATTTCAAGACAGTAAGTGATGATGTACCCAAGGCTTATAGTTTGCAGGTACACGTGCCTGATAGATGTTGGAAACTGGCTTTCCCAACCTTTCTCTTTTACTTGCCTCAAGCTCTGTCCTGGACTTAGGAATCCCAGTGGGGATTTGGAGTGGACAGGACTTGAGCCTTGAAGGACAAGAATGCAGGGAGGGATGGTCCTGAGGAGGAAGCAGCTTCAGCTTCTAGGTCTTGGGATCTTGGGTGGGGAATAGGCTGCCTGGGGAAGGGCTGAATTGGAAGGAGGAGCTACAGGTCTGACTCAGGGAATGGAGAGGGGGCCTCAAAAAGAAGCCAGGCAGGCTGCCTTCTTCCCAGCTCCAGAATGGCACCCCCTCTAAAGTCAGACTCACTTACGTACATCCTGGGAATGAAGCCCCTTCTCCTTTCTGTTTTTATTATTATTCTAACCCTCAAAGGGTTAAGCAGCTTTCACATGATTTTCCCATCTCCCAGGTAACTCGGGCAGCTGCTTCGTGCTGGAAATAAATAAAAGTCCCAATTTCTCAGTTCGTGCACTTAGCAATGCACCCCAGCAGCCCCTCCACTCCTCAGCAGAGAAGCACAGCCCTTCGGATAAAAGGTGCCTGGGGGCGAAGCTGCAAGTCGGCAGGTGCCGGGGAGGGGATCCCAAGAGACAGTGGGGCGGGGGAGGGGGCAGGGAGAGTGCCCTTTCCCTGGGTCCCTCCACTGGGCTCTGGGTCCAGCAGGTTCGCCTCGGGGCCGCTGCCCCTGAGGCTGCGGGGAAGAGGAAAGAAGTGGTGTGCGGGCAAGCAGGCCGCACACACCTGGCGCCTTGTGGAATGAGATCTTAATTAATTATTAAACTGAGTTCCCGCGGGAGGGCCGTGGCAGGCAGGGCGGGAATGGCTGGGTGGGGGCTGGGGCAGGGACAGGGAGGAAGTGGGGGTGAAGAGTGGGCGCGGGGCGCCGGCCCAGGCCCCGGGACCCTGACAGGAAGGAAGGCGACCCTCGGTGGGCGGGGCGGGGGATATCGCCAAGAGGGGTGGGTTTGCGGGCCATCTCGGGGACCCCCGGGGTGAGGGCGGGAGGGGAATGCCGGAGGAGGCGGCCGGGGTGAAGGGAAGGGGACCGGGCTGCGAGGTCCCCTCCCCCGGGGTCTTGATCCCAGAACAGTAGCCGCTTGTATTCCCAGGACTGGGGGAGGAAGCGGCCGGAGGAAAGGAGGGGGCGCGCGGAGGGAGGGGGCGCGCGGAGGGAGGGGTCCCATTATTTGGCCTCCTCTGCTCCTCCGCTGCTCCTCGGAAGGGGAGTGGGCGACTCGGCCCCCGCTTCTGGGGAGGACGCGGGGGGTGCCCAGACAAAAGGAGCTTGTGCCTTTAAGGCGGGGAGTCCGGGAGCCGGCGGGGAGGGGACTTCTGGATCCGGGGTAGAGGGCGGCTGCGCTGGACAGCTCGGGAGGGGGCGAGGGCCGGGCGGACGGCGGACGGCGGGCGGGACGGCCGGGACGCGCGGGCTCGGAGAAGGACCGCGGGACGGCCGGCCGGCCGGCCGGAGCCCGCGGGGGCGGCGGCGGGGCGGGGGCCCAGGGCCGGCGCGGAGTCGGGCCGGCAGGTGAGCGCGCCGAGGGCTGGGAAGTGCCGCCCGGGCTCCCGGGGCGCCGGGGCTGGAACGCACCCGCGCGGCTCCCGACGAGAGTTTGTGGGTGGGGGCGCCGAAGCCTGGGACGGGTCGTCTGGGCAGTGTTTGGCGGGTTGCCCGAGGCAGTTGGGGTTGGCAGAGGTAAGTCGCGGAGGCGCTGGGATCGAGGACTCCTAGGTCCGGGGCTCACTACCCGCGTCGCCCGCCGCCTGCCTCATGCCTTTCTCCCTCCCTCCACGGGGCGAGTTCCAGGCTTGCCCGGAGGAGGGGGACCTGGCACGGACTGGGGGAGGGGCTGGCCTGAGGTTTTTGCTGTGGGGCTAGTCTCTGAGTTTGTGGGAGAATGTGATTCCATTTTGGGGAGAGGAACCGGTCTGGGCAGAGGGAGGGATACCCTCTGTCTGCGGGAGTCCCTCTCCCTCCCCTCACCACAAACCGTGGGAATGAAAGGGGTGGGGTCGGCTCCCCATACCCTCCAAGGCCTGTTGTAGGGTGGGCAGGGGAGCTGACTTTATTCAGAGCAGGCTCTGGGGCTCGACTGAAAGGCTAGAGGTGGAATCAGACGTGGGAGCCTCTTTGCCCATATCCTCCCCTCACCAGACTACCCTTGTGAGCTGGAGGGACCTGGTGGGGGTTGCATGGTAAGGGGTGATGTGGGAGCCCTCTGCAGTCTTTAGGGAGAGCGAGGACGAGGACACGGAAGGAGGAAGATGGCAGCGGGCACTGGACAAATGCAGGGCCTGGGAAGCTCCTTTACATCTGGAAAGGCCCAGAATTGAAGAATTGAGGCCCACGTCCCAGTTTGGTGGGAGGTGCTGGCACTGCTGGGCCCTGCCTGGGCAGTGCCTCTTGCCATGAACTTTCTGAAGTCGTTTTAAATCCCCTGGAGCCTCCTTTTGCCAAGGAGGGCAGGGTCAGATGGGCCCTGGGGATGGGATAGACAGGAGGTAGCCAGGAAGGCTTGGTGAGGCAGTGGGCAGAGCCATCCTTAGGACTGCGCCTTGGCCTTGGCTGGCTCCAGACTCTGGTCTCAGGCTGATCAGGGTTTGGGAGGGACTTGAGGTCTGGGAGGCACTGAGCCTGAGCCTGCCAGGCTGAATGGGACATGGCTTCAGCTGTGGGAGCGGGTGGTGTGGGGAGCGGCAGATCTGTGAGAGAGCAAAGGGACCAACACTCAGGGGAGGAGGAGGTCAGAGGCGCAAGGCTTGGGAGCCTAACTCTGGGGAGGAGAGAGGTGGTCTGTGCTCCCAGGGCTCATAGTGATGGGTTGCTGGACAGAGTGGGTTGGGGGGACCATATAGAGAAGTTTTGTGGCTTGGAACTGTGCCCTCCCCTGTTCCCTGCCATACCAGTCTGGCATGGGGTGCCAGAAGTGTTGGGAGGCCGGCAAGTTCTCCAGGATGGGCAGTACCTGGATTGGAGCCCAGGGTGGGATGGCTGCAGTTGATTGGACAATCACACAGCTCTGAAGCTATCCCCTTGGGGGCTCAGAGTGTTCCTGGGAGGGTCATGCGTTCTCCTGGATAGTGTCTGCCCCTTTCTCTGTGGGTATGAGCCAGATGCTAGGATGTGTTTCCAGGGGGCTGGGAACATGGCCAGAAGCTAGTCCTTTGGGAACGGGTCTGGGCCAGTGGTGGGGGCAGGGTGCGGAGGGAGATAAGAACCGGGAAGGGGACTGGTGAATGGGAGGAGGCTGAAGCAAAATGTTGTGGGTGGTAGATGGTGGTGGGAAACCAGCTTACTCTGGGCTCTGTCTCCAACAGCTCTGGGGACTGACAGCCAAGGACACAGGGACTGATAGAACCAGGTATCTGTCTGGCTGGAAAGACACGTGTTCTTGCGCATGATTTTCTCATCTTTCCATCTCTTGATGATGACAGAGGTTTGGGCTTAAAGTGTTGTGGAGTGAGGAAAAGAACTAATATTTTTCAGGTGTGTACTTCATGACAGGCATTATTAGCTTCTTTCTTGAGACCATTATTATTTCCATTTTACAGATGAAGACACTGACACGGAGAGGTTAAATAACTTGCCCAAGGCAGTGCGGCTAGCAAATAATTACGCTAAGGTTTGGAACCTGGTCTCATGCCAAAGATCATGCTTCTAATGAAGTATTTTGAAGAGCCAGGCTTTCTTTGGTGACCTTTTCCAAATGCCAGCCTGACCAAAAGTCTTGTATTCCTGATCTGTCCTTCCAGATGGTGCTGTTGGTGATATTAAGATGTTGAAGGGGCCGCGAGAGGGGGCTCATGCCTGTAATCCCAGCACTTTGGGAGGCCAAGGAGGGTGGATTACCTGAGGTCAGGAGTTGGAGACTAGCGTAGCCAAAATGGTGAAACCTTGTCTCTATTAAAAATACAAAAATTAGCTGGGTGTGGTGGTACATGCCTGTAATCCCAGCTACTCGGGAGGCAGAGGCAGGAGGAAGGTGAATTGCTTGAACCCAGGAGGCTGAGGTTGCAGTGAGCTGAGATCATGCCACTGTACTCCAGCCTGGGTGGGGCAGAGTGAAACTCCATCTCAAAAAAAAAAAAAAAAAAGGTTGAAGGACATGCTGCTCTGTGGAATATAGGAGAAGGGATGCTGACAGAACTTGGCTGAAGGTGACTCAGAGATGGGGGTTTTGGGGTATGCAGAGAATTCCCTAGCCTGCCTTCTGCTTGTGGGTCTCTGGGTGTCTGCTTCGAGTGCTACTCATCTGGCTTGAGCTCTCATTCTGTGGCCACCTGGGGCAAGTGCTAGATGCTCCCCCATCCTATCCCCTAGTGAGTACAAATGTCAGTGCTGCTAGCTCAGCAGGTTCAAGTACAAGCGGCCCCTCAGGTGCTCTGTGAGCATGGAGGAGTGCGGCCCTGAAGCAGACACAGGCATGCGTGGATGACAGTGCTTTCAGCCTCATATTCTGACCTGGGCTCAGCCAGGAGTCGCATTAAAAGTATCAACATGGAGTCTTCCCACCTCAGTAATGACATTTCCTCCAGGAAATATGGGATCTGGGACTGATTTGGTTACCATGATCTCTATAACTTGGGCCAGCCATCTAAAACTGCCATGGACCTCAGTTTTTGTTCATATATATTTTTCCTTTCAGTTTTGCGCCCCAGGGGGCCACAGGACCAGTTTCTTAGAGGTTTTGGTGAAGATCAGATGGAATTGGGGATGTGAAAAGATCTTGAACAGTTTAAAGCACAGAGAAGTGCATGGAGTAGCATTCATTCATCCATCCAGTCATTCATCTACTCAATGAACATTTTTTATTATTATTTTATTTTTTGAGATGGTGTTTTGCTCTTATTGCCCAGGCTGGAATGCAGCGGTATGATCTTGGCTCACTGCAATCGGTTTCAAGCAGTTCTCTCGCCTCAGTCTCCCGAGTAGCTGGGATTACAGGCATGTACCACGACGCCTGGCTAATTTTGTATTTTTAGTAGAGACAGGGTTTCTCCATGTTGGTCAGGCTGGTCTCGAACTTCTGACCTCAGGTGATCTGCTCACCTCTGCCTCCCAAAGTGCTGGGATTACAGGCATGAGCCACCATGCCCAACTTCAATGAACACTTAATTTAGGTCCTGCTAAGGGTTGTGGATACAGCAGTGAGTACAACAGGTCAAAATCCTTGCTTTCATAGAGCTGCCATTCCCATCAGGAGAGACAGACAATGAACACATAAGAAAAATATATAGAATGGCAGTTGCTGATTAGAGCTATGGAGAAAAAGCATAGAGCTGGGGAGAGAGATAGAGAGCTCCAGGAAAGGGAGCTGCTATTTTAATAGGGTAGTCAGGGAAAGCCTCACTGATAAGGGGACATTTGGGATGTGACCTGGAGGAGCTCTAATTCCAGACATCAGGAACAGCAGACACTGAGGTCCCAGGCTGGCCTGTGCAGAGTATGCTGGGAAGCAGCAGAGGTTCTTATGATGGGTGCAGCAAGGAAGCTGAAGAACCTTAGGATCATTACTGTTAGCTGTTATGTTAGCTGCTCCATTCCATTGCCCTTGAGCTTCCTTTCATTCCGTCTTTTCAACATATTAATATATTTATTGAGTCTCTACTTTGAGCCAGGCCCAGTACTTAGCACTGGGGATAAAGTGTGGAACAAAATAGATGTAATCCCTACCCTCTCAAACTTAGAGTGAGAAGGGCAGAGATGCATATTAAATAAGGAATGATTTAATTATAATTACAGTAAGTACTATGGAAAAAATGAACAGAGGGTAAATGGGACCAAATCTCGTCTGGGTGGGGGAGCTGGGAAGTGTCCCTGAGGAAGTTGAATTTAAGCTGTGACCTGAGGGAAGTTGAATTTAGCTTGGTGAAGTGTGCATTGTGTGTGAGTGTGATGAGGGAGGATGTAGAAAGATTCCCTTTTGCACAGAGGTCACTGATGGGCAGTTCATGGGCAGAACTCATTCCACAGACGTGATTTATTTTGGCTTGGCGGTATTGAAAAATGTGAATTAGTTGCCAACATTTATAAATCAGGAGATGTCGCATTAAAATCCAGATTTTTCTTTTTCTTAAGACGGAATCTCACTCTGTTGCCCAGGCTGGGGTGCAGTGGCTTGATCTCAGCTCACTGCAACCTCCACCTCCCAGGTTCAAGAAATTCTGCCTCAGCCTCCCAAGTAGCTGGGAGTACAGACGCCTACCACCATGCCTGGCAATTTTTGTATTTTTAGTAGAGATGGGGTTTTACCATGTTGGCCAGGCTAGTCTTGAACTCCTAACCTCAGGTGATCCCCCTGCCTCAGCCTCCCAAAGTGCTGGGATTACAGGTGTGAGCCACCATGCCCAGCCTAAAATCCAGATTTTTTTCTTCAGCTTCTGTTGACAAAAATTGGATCGGGCCCCACTGGGACCCAGTGGCAACAGTCTACTGCAGGGTGATGCTTGCTCCATGCACAGGGTATGAACTCTTCCTCCTAGTTCTGAACCATAAGCTGCTTCACTCATTGACTTGGACACTTGAGTTCGTGACCACCAACAAATCAGTGCTTTTTAGGGAAATTTTCAAGTATATTGGCTTTGGGGTCAGACAAATCTGGTTTAGAATCTTGGTTCTCTCACTTACGTGGCTGCTAGATCTTTGGGCAGTCTCCCCTCCCCTCCCCTCCCCTCTCTTCTCCTCCCCTCCCTTCCCCTTCCCTCCCCTCCCCATCTTCCCTTTCCTTCTTCCCTTCCCTTCCTCCATTCCCTTCCCTTCTTCCCTTCCCTTCTTCCCTTCCCTTCTTCCCTTCCCTTCTTCCCTTCCCTTCTTCCCTTCCCTTCTCTTCCTCCCCTCCCCTCCCCCTCTTCCTCCCCTCCCCTCCTCTCTCCTCCCCTCCCCTCCTCTTCCTCCCCTCCCCTCCCCTTCCCTCTTTTTCATCTTCTTTCTTCCATTCCCTTGACTCCTCCCTCCCTTCCTTCTTTCCTTCCTCTTTTTTTTTTTTCAGGCTGTGGCTGTTGCCCAGGCTAGGGTGCAGTGGCGTACAATCCTGGCTCACTGCAGTCCCCAGTGCCTGGGCCCGAGCAATCCTTCCACCTTAGCTTCCTGAATGGCCAGGTCTATAGGTGCACGCCAGTAGAGATGGGGTTTCACCTTGTTACCCAGGCTGGTCTCAAACTCCACACCAGGCCAATTTTATTTTTTGAGATGGAGTCTCACTCTGTCACTTAGGCTGGAGTGCAGTGGCATGATCTTGGCTCACTGCAACCTCTGCAGCCTGAGTTTAAGTGATTCTCCTGCCTCAGCCTCCTGAGTAGCTGGGATTATGGGTGTTTGCAACTGTGCTGGACTAATTTTTTTTTTTTTTTTTTTTTGAGATGGAGTCTAGCTCTGTCGCCCAAGATGGAGTGCAGTAATATCATCTTGGCTCACTGTACCCTCCGCCTCCTAGGTTCAAGTGATTCTCCTGTCTCAGCCTCCTGAGTAGCTGGAATTACAGACCCACACCACCATGCCTGGCTAATTTTTTTTCGTATTTTAGTAGAGATGGGGTTTCACCATGTTGCCCAGGCTGATCTCAAACTCCTGAGTCCGGGCAATCCACCCACCTTGGCCTCCCAAAGTGCTGGGATTACAGGCATGAGCCACCACACACGGCTAATTTTTGTATTTTTAGTAGAGATGGGGTTTCACCAACTTTGCCAGGCTGGTCTTGAACTCCTAACCTTGTGATTCACCCGCCTGGGCCTCCCAAAGTGCTGGGATTACAGGCATGAGCCACCATCCACGGTGCCCGGCCCAGGCTAATTTTTAAAAATTTTAATAGAGACAAGGTCTTGCTATATTGCCCAGGTTGGTCTCACATTTCTGGCCTTAAGCCATCCTCCTATCTCAGCCTCCCAAAGTGCTGGGATTGTAGGTGTGTGAGCCACTGTGCCTGGCCCTGGGCAAGCTTCTTTGCCTCACTGTGTCTTCGTTTCTCACCTGTTGAATGGGGATACCCTTGCCTACGTCCAAGTAATTGTATGAGGATGAAGCTCATGGCTTGGCAGTGGGAAGTGCTCAGGTAATGAGCTGCTAGTCCTGGCAATGGCTGTGATGGTGGTATTAATACCGTTCCTATTGGATGGTCTCTAATATCATCTCCTTCCTTCTCTACCAGCAACATGTCATGGTTTAGTGGCCTCCTGGTTCCTAAAGTGGATGAACGGAAAACAGCCTGGGGTGAACGCAACGGGCAGAAGCGTTCACGGCGCCGCGGCGCTCGGGCGGGTGGCTTCTGCACGCCCCGCTATATGAGCTGCCTCCGGGATGCAGAGCCACCCAGCCCTACCCCTGCGGGCCCCTCTCGGTGCCCCTGGCAGGATGACGCCTTCATCCGGAGGGGCGGCCCAGGCAAGGGCATGGAGCTGGGGCTGCGGGCAGTGGCCCTGGGCTTCGAGGACACCGAGGTGACCCCGGCAGCGGGCGGGACAGCTGAGGTGGCGCCCGACGCTGTGCCCAGGAGCCGGCGATCCTGCTGGGGGCGTCTAGTGCAGGTGTTCCAGTCGAAGCAGTTCCGTTCAGCCAAGCTGGAGCGCCTGTACCAGCGGTACTTCTTCCAGATGAACCAGAGCAGCCTGACGCTGCTGATGGCGGTGCTGGTGCTGCTCACCGCGGTGCTGCTGGCCTTCCACGCCGCGCCCGCCCGCCCTCAGCCTGCCTATGTGGCCCTGCTGGCCTGCGCCGCCGCCCTGTTTGTGGCGCTCATGGTGGTGTGTAACCGGCATAGCTTCCGCCAGGACTCCATGTGGGTGGTGAGCTATGTGGTGCTGGGCATCCTGGCGGCGGTGCAGGTGGGGGGCGCCCTCGCAGCCGACCCGCACAGCCCCTCTGCAGGCCTCTGGTGCCCCGTGTTCTTCGTCTACATCGCCTACACGCTCCTCCCCATCCGCATGCGGGCTGCTGTCCTCAGCGGCCTGGGCCTCTCCACCCTGCATTTGATCTTGGCCTGGCAACTCAACCGTAGTGATGCCTTCCTCTGGAAGCAGGTAGGTGGCCAGGGAGGCACGGGTGGAGGGCAGCAGGTGGGGAATTTCTCACCTCATAAGCAGGTGGGGGCCCAGTAAGGAAGGGCGGGAGAGTCGTGGGTGGATCCCGGGTGCAGGGATGTCTGGCTGTATCTGAGAGGAGGGGCAGGTGAGGGAGGCCAGGGTTCAGGGGTCTGCCTCCATGTGGGATCTGGGGTACAGGGCACTGCTGAGGGGAAGGAGGGCCCCAGAACCCAAGCTTGAGATCTGTGGCCATGAGTCCCAGTCTCCAGCTCTTTAGCCTGCTGAAAGTGCAGTCTGTAGAGGCAGAATGTGGGGCTGGAAGCAGGGGTGTGGTATTTAACCCCTGGGCCCTGGTGGGGAACAGGCAGTGCAGGCTGTGTCCAGGCTTTGGCATCTCTGTTGGCAAGTTGATACCTGAGACTCGGGTGCTGGTGCTATTCCTGGAGAGCAGCTCTAGGTTGGGAACTGGAGGTATAGAGCAGGTTTTGGTTATTGTCAGCGAGGGAGGAGGAGTTACCTCTTTCCTGGACCAAGGCCACTTCTGGGAGGACAGGGAAGGTGAAGAGCTGGGGTCAGTTCCCTCTGGGCTGGATGTGGTTTGAATGCGGTTAAAGAGAGGAACCTAAGTCTGATCATATCCCACCTTCCTCCTGCTGGGCACCAAGGGTCTGGCCGCCCTGCCTTGAGGTCCTCTACCCATGCCTGCTCTGCCTCCAGGCTCCAAGTGTGTGTGAGGTGGGGCTCCACATCTTCATGTGGAGTGGCTGCGGGCCAAATGCTATCTAATGGGCTGTATTCTTCTCTGTGGGATCTTAGACAACTAGCCTCACCTCTACCAGCCTTAGTTTCCCAGTCTGCAAAGCTGGGATAAAAATAGCATCTAGCTCATATTGTTGTTGGGGCCCCACCCTTTCCTAGAGTAGAGTAGAATCCGACTGGGCAGTGTTCTCACCTGGGGGCAGGGAGGAGTGGGGAGTGCTGGAAGGCATGTTACCCAGGGAAGGGGTTTCTGGGAAGTGCCTTTCAGAAGGACATATTTGTGGATCTGCCATCTCATGTCATCCCCTTGCCCAGGAAGCAGAGGCCAGGGTGTCTTTCCTGGCCGGTCCTTCAGGTGCTGCTGTAGTCACAGCCCTGCCATCAGGACACCTCCCGGGTCCTCCACTGGACCCTATCTAGAGAGTGCTGTCTGCTTTCTTCCTCAAGGTTTTGAGGGCTCATGGCCTGTTGCCCGCCCAGCCCCACCCACAGAGAGGAAGTTGCCTGGGGATCCCAGGGTGAGAAGCTGGGTTTTCTGGCATGATGCCCTTCTCCGCCCAGCCTGCACTACAGAACAGAACATACTTTTTTTTTTTTGAACTTCAAGGCAGGGCAGCCAGGCCCCTGGTGCCCAGCAAGAGGAAGGTGGGAGCCTCGCTCTGTAGCCAGGCTGGAATGCAGTGACACAATCTCAGCTCACTGCAACCCCCGCCTCCCAGGTTCAAGTGATTCTCCTGCATCAGCCTCCTGAGTAGCTGGGACTACAGGTGCGCACCACTACACCCAGCTAATTTTTGTATTTTTAGTAAAGATGGGGTTTCACCATGTTGACTGGGATGGTCTCGAACTCTTGACCTCATGATCCGCCCACCTCAGACTCCAAAGTACTGGGATTATAGGTGTGAGCCACCTCGCCCAGCCAAAACATACCTTTTTTTTTTTTTTTTTTGAGATGGAGTCTTTCTCCATCGCCCAGGCTGGAGTGCTGTGGCAAGATCTCAGCTCACTGCCACCTCCACCTCCTGGGTTCAAGCAATTCTCCTGTGTCAGCCTCCCAAGTAGCTGGGACTACAGGTGCCTGACACCATGCCTGGGTAATTTTTGTATTTTTAGTAGAGACAGAGTTTCACCTTGTTGGTCAGGCTAGTTTCGAACTTCTGACCTCAGGTGATCCACCCGCCTCAGCCTCCCAAAGTGCTGGGATTACAGGCTTGAGCCACTGTGCCCAGCCAAATGAATTTTTTTTTTTTTTAATACAGAATTTCGCTCTTGTTGCCCAGGCTAGGGTGCAAAGGTACAATCTCAGCCCACCACAACTTTTGCCCCCCGAGTTCAAACGATTCTCCTGCCTCAGCCTCACGAGTAGCTGGGATTACAGGTGTGCACCACCACGCCCAGCTAATTTTGTATTTTTAGTAGAGACGGGGTTTCTCTATGTTGGTCAGGCTGGTCTCGAACTCCTGACCTCAGGTGATTCGCCCCCTCAGCCTCCCAAAGTCCTGGGATTATAGGTGTAAGCCACTGCACCCAGCCAAAAGGCCAAACATACCTTTTTAAAAGTAACTTTATAGCCTATTTGTTTGTGGAGCACAGGCCCGTAGGGCACTGTCAGACATCTTAAAGGGCCAGGTCCTTCTGTCCCAAAGATTCAGCCCCAGGCTGGCTCTCAAGCAGGGCTTTATGGCTAGACTGTCCTCCTAGGGAAGGAGCTTAGTGGTGGTGCCTCCTTTCCCCCTTCCTCTGTGGCCAGGTCTGGGCTGGGTGGGCATGTCTTCCTTGCTCTCAATTGGCATGGTGCCCAGAGCCAGGCTTGGTGCCTGACTGGGGAGGTGCAGCCCCAGGAAGGCTAGGACTGTGCCCGCCTCCCATCTCCCAGGGGTGCCTGGCTATAGCCTCACCCAGTGGATCTCAACAGGCACGTTCTCGGAGCAGTGGCGAGTGACTGCTGCCCCTATGCCAGTCCTTGGGACTAGGGCTGCCCAACCTCCTCTTGGCTGAGAAACAGTCCCTGTGCCCATTGAGTCTGTGGGTTTCTAGACGGGTGGGATTTGTGGCCTCCTTTGTCTGCTTGGACAGCCCCTTCCCAGATACAGCCCCGCTCACACTCAGGAAGGAGCCTTTTTCTACTACCGACCCACTCATTTAGATACACTGTACAGTGTCACCCAGTGACCCAGGAGCAGCTTGGAGTCCCCTCTGGTCCCCTGGCATCCATTTTTTCTCACAGTCAGATAGGGATATGTGTGTACAGAGTTATTTCAGTCTCGTCCCCCTTCCCCTTCCCTCCACCATGACTCACATTTTCCTCTTGGGCTCCTGGGGCCAGGAAGGGAAGTTGCCTGGTTTGCCCCCCTTCCCTTTTCCCCTACTGGGGGCTATTCTTAGAAACCCCCAAGGGAGATAGTGTACCCCCCTCTTCACCCCTGCTGCTGGGTGGGGATCTCAGCCTAGTTGATCCTGGGCCTGTGAGCTAGACTGGGAAGGGAAGCTGAGAGGCCATACCAGAGGGCTAGAGCTGGAAATGCTAGGGGTTAGCCATTTTACTCAGTTTTACCCAAGAGGAAACTGAGGTCCCAAAGAATAAGTGACCTGCTCAATTTGCAGGACTAGTTCTAGTTCAAGGCAGAGCCCAGAACCTCTGGCTTCCAGGAAGTGCTACTGCTGTTTCCCTCCCTTCTTAAACCAGAGCCCTGCCCCATCCAACTCTGGGGTGAGGCCACAAGCGCCAGGTTAATTCCTGAGTTTCCAGAAACAGAGTCCAGTTTCCCTAAGACTTGCTCTCTAGCTAGTGCCACTGATAATGATTGGGGTCTGAACATTCCTAGGGTGGGGGCCCTAGGCGTAGGGCCTGGCAGGGCCAGGTGTTGGGAGGGAGTTATACCTTGAGGAGTGGCCAGGCATGGTGGACCCCATCCCCAGTTAGGGGATATATCCTTTGTATCAGTAGAATTGATGACTCTCAAGCCTGGGCTCTGAGGTTAAGCTTGAGAGCGAGTCAGTAGAGTGAGTAGGAAGCTTGGAAACCTGGAATGCACTACACAGTATGGAATGCACTAGATAGTAGGATTAGGACACAGGATATGGAGTCCAATTATCTTGGGTTCAAGTCTTACATCAGCCACTACCAGCTGTGTGATCTTGGGCAAGTTACTTGGCTTCTCTGTGACTCAGTCCCTTACCTTTAAAATGGGATATTGTTATCTATTTCATAGCGTTTTAAGAAATGTGTTAGGGGCTGGGCATTGTGGCTCATGCCTGTAATCCTAGCATTTTCGGAGGCCCAGGCAGGAGGATCAGTTGAGATCAGGAGTTTGAGACCAGCCTGGCCAACATGGTGAAACCTCATCTCTACTAAAAAAATATACAAAAATTAGCCAGGCATGGTGGCAGCCAGCTGTAATCCCAGCTACTCAGGAGGCTGAGGCAGAGAATTGGTTGAATTACGAGGCAGAGGTTGCAGCGAGCCAAGATTGGGCTACTGCACTCCAGTCTGGGTGACAGACAAAAAAAAGAAAACAGAAATGAGTTAGTCAGTGTATAGAAGGCACCCACAGAATCCTGCACATGGTAGGCAGCCAACAAACTAGCTAGGGTAATAATAATGACAATGGCGATTGTTGTTACTAAGTTATGTCAAGCCAGGGAGGGGCTTTAGAGATCTTCTCATTCTTCCTCTTTGGGGTTATAGATGAGCAAACCTAAGAAAAAGGAGGTGACTTGTCCTGGGTCACTCACAGGAGGATGTAGAGCTCAGGTCTCCTGGGTGCTGTCCTTAAGGTTGAGCACCTGCAACAGGGGCAGCGTTTGTCTTTTGTGTGGGGTGTTTGTGGAGCAGGAGATACAGGGTGCTGGGGCTAGGCCCCATGACTTACCTGGCCCTAGTTGGTGCTTCTGCTCCCAGAAGCTGTGAAAAGATCTCATTTCTAGTCATGAAGGATTCAGGCAGACAGCTAGGATCTGGGGTCCTGTGGGTAATGGGAGAGCTATATTGCAGGGGTGGCATAGCTTGGGAACAGACAGGGTGCAGGACCCTGGCTTCGTTCCTCAGAGAGCCTAGCAAGTTGAGCGAATGTGTGTGTGTATTTAGGGGGTTGGCAGGGGAGATGGTCACCATCTGCCTCTGCCATCTCCTTCAGCTCAGTGCCAATGTGCTGCTGTTCCTCTGCACCAACGTCATTGGCATCTGCACACATTACCCAGCAGAGGTGTCTCAGCCAGGCCTTTCAGGAGACCCGCGGTTATATCCAGGCCCGACTCCACCTACAGCATGAGAATCGGCAGCAGGTGGGGCTGCTCTCCGTGACCAGGGCCTGCCCCGACCTTACCCGCAAATAACTTGCAGATTGGATCTGCTGCCTTGTGCAGCTCTGTGGAGCAGTGTGACAGTTCCCCTGGGTTGTGTGTCACAGAGGCCCTGTGATACTGGGCTTCTGTCCTGTCCAAGGGGAGGAGGGCGTAGACAGGAGCACATCTGGGGGCTCAGTGGAGGGTGGTCAGAGGGGCTCTGATGGGGGAATGTCAGGCAATACTCCAGAAGGGAAGCTCAGGTCTTCAGAGAAGTCTGGGAGGGCTCTGGCAATGTGGAGAGACCAGGAGGGATTGAAATGTGAGGCCAAGAGGATAGTGATGCCCTATTGGAACCACTGGGCTAGGAGCGGCTGCTGCTGTCGGTATTGCCCCAGCACGTTGCCATGGAGATGAAAGAAGACATCAACACAAAAAAGGAAGACATGATGTTCCACAAGATCTACATACAGAAGCATGACAACGTCAGGTAGGGTGAGGGTAGGAGGATGCCAGGTGGGGCAGAGGTCTGGACGTCTTTGAAGGCTACATGGTCTTTCATCCTCTGCTGTCATCTCCAGCATCCTGTTTGCAGACATTGAGGGCTTCACCAGCCTGGCATCCCAGTGCACCGCGCAGGAGCTGGTCATGACCCTGAATGAGCTCTTTGCCCGGTTTGACAAGCTGGCTGCGGTAAGGGTGCTGGGCCTTGGGGTTGGGCCTGGGTGTTGACCATGGTGAGAGCATAGCTTTGCTGGCAGAAGCTGGGTATTTGGGGGCAGATAGAGTGTGCATCGAGGGTGGGGCGCCATGCAGGCTGGGTGGGCAAGAGAGTAAAGGTTACCTTTCCCTCCAACTCTTTCCCATTCAGGAAAATCACTGCCTGAGGATTAAGATCTTGGGGGACTGTTACTACTGTGTGTCAGGGTTGCCAGAGGCCCGGGCAGACCATGCCCACTGCTGTGTGGAGATGGGGGTGGACATGATCGAGGCCATTTCGTAAGCAGTGCCCCATTCTCAGGCTTCCTGGAACTGTGCATGCCCCAGACTGCTCCTACTTTTTGATAAGACCCTAGGAGATTTCCTCAGTTTTGGCTGTTTCTCTGTCTTTGAGATCTGTCTGTCACTGGGGAGGGGAATGAATCTTTCTCCAACCTGTGCAAAGACCCATGTGCACCCTTAGGCTCCAGCCAGCCGAGATGGGGTGGAGAGAGCCTGGGCAGTAGGGGAGTTGGGCTAGAAGGAATGCCATCTGTGCAGGCAGAGGGAATAACAGTGATTCCTCTTCTCCTAGCTCAGTTCCACAAGATGCTGCTGGGCCCCTGCTGGTGAACACAGTCCTAACATTTGTCCTTGAGCCCCATGCAGCCTTCTACTCATGTCCAACCAAGGCTGTGCTCCCGTCCCCTGCATCTGGGTCTGTCCTTGCCCGCTGGGCCCTGAGGGGAGTGAAGGGCCTGGGCTGTGCGCTGGGGGAGGGGGAGACTGCCAGGAGCTGACCTGGGGCTGCCTCCTTCCAGGCTGGTACGTGAGGTGACAGGTGTGAATGTGAACATGCGCGTGGGCATCCACAGCGGACGCGTGCACTGTGGCGTCCTTGGCCTGCGAAAATGGCAGTTCGATGTGTGGTCCAATGACGTGACCCTGGCCAACCACATGGAGGCAGGAGGCCGGGCTGGGTGAGTGGGGGTGGGTCCAGGTGGTAGTGGATGGGAACACGGTGGGAGAACCAGGGGCTCACCCTCTTGGCCGCATACAGCCGCATCCACATCACTCGCGCAACGCTGCAGTACTTGAATGGGGACTACGAGGTGGAGCCAGGCCGTGGTGGCGAGCGCAACGCATACCTCAAGGAGCAGCACATTGAGACTTTCCTCATCCTGGGCGCCAGCCAGAAACGGGTCAGGGCCAGGGCAGGGCTGGGGGCAGGGGAGCAGGAAGAGGGACAAATGGGGAGAGCAGGCCAAGGCCTCCTCTGGGCCCCTCTTCTGAGCCTGTACCCTTGCTGCCTGCACAGAAAGAGGAGAAGGCCATGCTGGCCAAGCTGCAGCGAGCCCGGGCCAACTCCATGGAAGTGCTGATGCCGCGCTGGGTTCCCGATCGCGCCTTCTCCAGGACCAAGGACTCCAAGGCCTTCCGCCAGATGGTGAGGGACCCTCAGCGTCAGTCCTACGGCCTCATTTTCTTGGCTCCTTCAACACCCCATCCCTGTCCTTTCTTCTTGTGGCTGCCATCTCCATGTATGCTTTCTGGTATTGGGGCTGTGGGAGGATTTCATCCCAGGCGTCCCAGTGCTCCCAGAGGATATGGTGGGGACACCCTCAGCACAGTGTTGGGGTAAGGGAAGGAGCTGCAGAGGTAAAGGTTGTTGGCCCTTCACCTCACTCCACACTCTGTCCCTTTCTCCAGGGCATTGATGATTCCAGCAAAGACAAGTAAGTCAGGTTTCTGAGGAGGGAGAAGGCACTTGTACCCTGGGATGGGGCTGAGGGGAGCTGAGATCCTCCTTTCCCCTGAACTTAGGTGTGTGGTGTGGGAGCAGGGGCCACACCCCTGGCTCTCCCTCCCTCCCCTGGGTGCTGCCCATACCTTCCCTTTCATTGTTTCTCACGTGGCCATACCCATGCACCTGGTGAAGCCATGTACCCTGTCCTCAGCCGGGGTGCCCAAGATGCCCTGAACCCTGAGGATGAGGTGGATGAGTTCCTGAGTCGTGCCATCGATGCCCGCAGCATTGATCAGCTGCGGAAGGACCACGTGCGGCGGTTTCTGCTTACCTTCCAGAGAGAGGATCTTGAGAAGAAGGTTTGGGAGATACAGGGCAGAAGGACAAGGGCTGGGGGAGGGGCGGATCGCAGCAGGGATGGCTGACCACAGGTGAGGGCACAGCTGTTTCTGGGGGATGGAGAAGGGACCACCACAGAACAGGGTGGGGATTTTGTCAGCTGAGTCAACTGCATCTCCTCCCTGTTGAGGCCCCTGGTAGTGCCCTGTCCTTGCTGTCACTGCCTTTCTTAGGGAGGGCCCAGCACCCAACTCAGCCTCCTCTCCCTCAGTACTCCCGGAAGGTGGATCCCCGCTTCGGAGCCTACGTTGCCTGTGCCCTGTTGGTCTTCTGCTTCATCTGCTTCATCCAGCTTCTCGTCTTCCCACAGTGAGAGCCCTGCCCTTCCTCTCTTAGCTTCTCTCTTCTCCACTACTTCCCAGAAGCTTCCTAAATACCCACATGAGCCCACAATCCCTGGAGTCTGCATCCCTGCTTGTTCCAGAGGGTGGGATAAGAATGCCCAGATCTTCCAAAATTAAACGATTTTCCTGGCCCTGTTCTACCCCAGCTCCACCCTGATGCTTGGGATCTATGCCAGCATCTTCCTGCTGCTGCTGATCACCGTGCTGATTTGTGCCGTGTACTCCTGTGGTTCTGTACGTAGGGGGACTTCTGAGGCTGTTGGGAATGGCAAGCTAGACTCCAGACAGGGAGGAGGTCTGGGGAGAGGGAGGAGAAGGCCATGCTTCTTCCCCTGGGCCCCATCCCTGGTTGGCCTTCCTCCTTGGCTGATACAACCTTCAACTCTTGGTCTCTTGATGCCTCTAGCTGTTCCCTAAGGCCCTGCAACGTCTGTCCCGCAGCATCGTCCGCTCGCGGGCACACAGCACTGCAGTTGGCATCTTTTCCGTCCTGCTTGTGTTTACCTCTGCCATTGCCAACATGGTAAGGGTCCAGTGGGAATTCTCTCACCTCTGCTCTGTGTCAAGCACTGCCCTGGACACTGGGGGTGCAGAAGGAAATAGGACATGTTTTCTGCCCTCAGGGAGCCCCCTCCCAGAACAGGGGAAGGTGAACTCCAGTTCTTCCTCCTTGTTCTCCCAACCTCTTGTCATCCCTGAGTGAGAATGAAGGCCCATGGGTATAAGGTACCTGGGCATAGCCCTAGCAACCCTTCACCTCCTTGGCTACCCTGACATACCCCTCCACTTTTGCAGTTCACCTGTAACCACACCCCAATACGGACCTGTGCAGCCCAGATGCTGAATTTAACACCTGCTGACATCACTGCCTGTCACCTGCAGCAGCTCAATTACTCTCTGGGCCTGGATGTGCCCCTGTGTGAGGACACCGCACCCACCTGCAGCTTCCCTGAGGTGTTCAAGCATTGCTCAGGTGGTGGGGAGGGGCTGTCCTGGCACAGACGTTGGCCCCTCTGTGCCAGGCCTGGTGATGGGCATGGGGACCCAGGAACTCACCAGAGTCTTTCACACTAGGAGCAACCAGGGGCCCTGGTGTGGTGTAGGGGCTGGACATGGAAGGTGGAGGATATGGGGGTTTGAGGGGTGTGGAGGAAAGGTTAGGTCAGGCAGGAGAGTGCAGGGCTCTCCCTGCTCAGGGTGCCATGGCCTCTGCCTTCACCCAATGCTGCCTCTGCCATCCCCCCAGTACTTCATCGGGAACATGCTGCTGAGTCTCTTGGCCAGCTCTGTCTTCCTGCACATCAGCAGCATCGGGAAGTTGGCCATGATCTTTGTCTTGGGGCTCATCTATTTGGTGCTGCTTCTGCTGGGTCCCCCAGCCACCATCTTTGACAACTATGACCTACTGCTTGGCGTCCATGGCTTGTGAGTTTATTCTCAGGTCCTTTAATACCCCAGGAACTTCCCTGACCTTGCTGGGTCACTGTGAGCCTCTCTGGTGCCCAGGCCCCTTGTGCCCTTAGAATGCCTCAACTCCCCTGTGGAGGAAAGGGAGGAGATGGAGGAGCTCCCAGCATGTGAACCCGAATAGTTACACCAAGGAACCCCAGTCTTGGGAAATCAGCTGCTTGGTGGCAGGGCTCTGGCTAGGAACCACAGCTTCTGATCCTGCTTAGGGCTTTGCCTGGGATACCACACTAGCTTTTCCTCTGCAAAACCCCCTTCCTTTGATATGCCACTGCAGCTTCTTGTAGTAGAAAATGCCTCTGGCGTCTGCTGGGTTTGAATCCCTGCTCTGCTCTCATTAGCTATGTGAGCTTAGACAGGTGAGTTAGCTTCTCTGAGCCTCAATTTCCTCATCTGCAAAATGGCAATGCCACCTAAATCACAGGGTAGTTGTAAAGATTATAGTAACTAACATTTATGGAAGTCTCACTATATGGCAGGCACTGTGCCAAGCCTTTTACATGCATTATTTAGATCGGATGCCTGTTGTACAGATGAGGAAGGAGGCTTAGACAGCTAAGCAACTTATCTCAGGTTGTATAGCTGGTAAGTAGAGGAGTCTCTAAGAGCAGAGGTGTTTTTTTTTTTTTTTTGAGACGGAGTCTTGGTCTGTTGCCCAGGCTGGAGTGCAATGGCGCAATCTCAACTCACTGCAGTGGTGCAAACCCGCATCCTGGGTTCAAGCAATTCTCTTGCCTCGGCCTCCCAAGGAGCTGGGATTACAAGCACCCACCACCACACCCAGCTAATTTTTGTATTTTTAGTAGAGATGGGGTTTCATCATGTTGGCCAGGCTGGTCTTAAACTCCTGACCTCAGGTGATCCACCTGCCTCGGCCTCCCAAATTGCTGGGATTACAGGTGTGAGCCACTGTACCCGGCCAAGAGTAGAGGTTTTCTTAACCTCTACTCTTTATGAGTTAATTAATTAAGTAAAGCCTTGGCCCAATGCCTGACTTACAGTATGTGCTCAGGAAATGCAGTCTCTGTCTCCCCTTCCATCTGCCCACCTAGCAACCCAGGAAGCACTAATTACTTTGTCTCTTCTATCTTCTTGCCAGGGCTTCTTCCAATGAGACCTTTGATGGGCTGGACTGGTAAGTGAGGGCTCTGAGGCAGCAAAGGGTAGGGCCCTAGATGCCTCCCTTGGACACCAAGCATGTCTCTGCTTACCCTTAGTCCAGCTGCAGGGAGGGTGGCCCTCAAATATATGACCCCTGTGATTCTGCTGGTGTTTGCGCTGGCGCTGTATCTGCATGCTCAGCAGGTGGAGTCGACTGCTCGCCTGGACTTCCTCTGGAAACTGCAGGTGACCGGGTGGGCCTTTGGGGGAAGGGGAGGAACCTAGGGGCAGACCTGGGCCAGGCCAAAAATGCATCTCCTGCTAGCTGGCTAAGGCCCACGGCGCCCCTAGGCCCCCCTGGTTCCATGCCTTCTCTGTGCCCATCCCTTACTCCTCGCCCCGTCCTGTACCTGCCCCCTTCATCCCTTTGCCTGTTCTTTAGGCCTCATCTGTCCGTGCCTTTCCTCCTCTGCGTGATTCCCTCTGATGCCCATTTCCAAGCCTTGGCCACCACGCCCACCCCTTGTGAATGTTGGGCAATGGGTGATGGGTGTGGTGTCTATAGGCAACAGGAGAGAAGGAGGAGATGGAGGAGCTCCAGGCATACAACCGGAGGCTGCTGCACAACATTCTGCCCAAGGACGTGGCCGCCCACTTCCTGGCCCGGGAGCGTCGCAATGATGAACTCTACTATCAGTCGTGTGAGTGTGTGGCTGTTATGTTTGCCTCCATTGCCAACTTCTCTGAGTTCTATGTGGAGCTGGAGGCAAACAATGAGGGTGTCGAGTGCCTGCGGCTGCTCAACGAGATCATCGCTGACTTTGATGAGGTACTTGTCCAGTTGGCTGGTGCTGGCAGAGAATTGCGGGACTTGGAGACCAGGGTAGTAGAGAGAATTTTGGATGAAAAGGCCAGGATTGGAAGGGGCGAATGGCACTGGGAAGAGAAAGAGAGATTTGATGGGATTCAGAGGCATCAGGGCTAGGGGTAAGGGTAGGCACAGTGGAGGCAGAGGCAAGAACCCATGAAGGTGTCAGAGGCAGCAGGGGGATCAGCCCTAGTGGGGTAGTGTCATCCTTGTTGGGGAGCGGGGGAAGGACTTGATCCGTAGAGGGATAGGATAGGTACCAGGTGGATGTCATTGAAGAAGAAGGCAGTAGTCTGTGGACAGAACTTCATGAGATAAACCAAGCAAGATGGTCCTCTGAAAACAGAAAATGGAAGCAAAATGTGAGGTAGTATCCTGAAAACCCAGATCAGGAAATGGCTGTTCCACTATTCTGGAGGGAAGTCACTTGCTCACCTTGGGACTCAGTATCCCAAAAGGACTGGAGAAATTGCTTAATATCCCACCTGTGGGTCTGTGTTCTGTGAGTGAGCTACTGGAGTGACCTTCTGAAGCTGTATGCCCAAGTCCTGCCTGGACTCCTAGGGTGCCTGTTTTTCCCGGCTCCTCAGTCCTACACTGATAGCAGCAGCTGGAAGGGGGCTCTTGAGACAGGGAAGTGGGGAAAGGAGCCAAGGCGGGGCAAGAAATGAGTGTTGGGGCAGGGCTGGGTTTAGGGTCTTTGCCTTGACAGCCAGGTCCCCTTGTGTTGTTCAGATCATCAGCGAGGAGCGGTTCCGGCAGCTGGAAAAGATCAAGACAATTGGTAGCACCTACATGGCTGCCTCAGGGCTGAATGCCAGCACCTACGATCAGGTGGGCCGCTCCCACATCACTGCCCTGGCTGACTACGCCATGCGGCTCATGGAGCAGATGAAGCACATCAATGAGCACTCCTTCAACAATTTCCAGATGAAGATTGGTGAGAGGACCTGGTTGCTTGGCAGGGTTTCCCAGGACTATTTCTGGGTGAAGCTGGGATTATAGGCTGGGGATGGGATCACAGATTCCCCATCAGGGTTCCTGTGGGGTTTTCTTCCCTCTGACCTTCTATATTAAGTCTGATATTAAGAACAGAGATCATGGCCGGGTGCGGTGGCTCACGCCTGTAATCCTAGCACTTTGGGAGGCCAAGGCAGGTGGATTACCTGAGGTCAGGAGTTCGGGACCAGTCTGACCAATATGGTGAAACCCTGTCTAAAAAAAAAAAAACTTTAAAAATATAAAATAAAAGAACAGAGATCATGCTGGGCGCGGTGGCTCCCACCTGTAATCCCAGCACTTTGGGAGGCCGAGGTGGGCAGATCATGAGGTCAAGAGATAGAGACTATCCTGGCCAATATGGTAAATACAAAAATGACCGCGTGTGGTGGCACACACCTATAGTCTCAGCTGCTCGGGAGGCTGAGGCAGGAGAACTGCTTGAACCCAGGAGGCGGAGGTTGCACTGAGCTGAGATCGCACCACTGCACTCCAGCCTGGTGACAGAACAAAACTGTCTCAAAAAAAAAAAAAAGAGTACAGAGATTACTCGGCACTATCCTAGAAATTTTTGAGCATATTTTAATCCTGATATTATTATCCCCTTTCATTGGATAGAAACTGACTCTCAGAGAGATTACATAACTTGCCCAAGGTCAAACAACTAGTAAGTGGCAGAGCTGGGATCCAAAATCAGAATTATCTAAACTTGAGTACCTTTGTCCATATATGTGGCCAGTCGGATAAGAAGTACTTCCTGTCAAATGAACTGGTGGATGGGAATGGTTAATAGCATAGGTTCTAGAGTCAGACTATCTGGTTTGAATTCTGGCTGCTGCATTTACTGGCTTATTTGGGAAGTCATCTAACTTCTCTAAGCTTCAGTTACCTTATCTATAAAATGAGACTAGTAATACCTACCGTTTAGAGGTGTTAAAAGGATGAAGCTATGTAAAATGCTTACTAGAGTGGCTGACGTGGAATTCAGGAGATTATTGTTATAGATGGCTGTCTCAACTCAGGGAGCTCCTAAGCTTAGGTGTTCAGGTCCTTTGACTGTTTTTTTTTTTGTTTTTTGTTTTTTTGAGGCAGGGATTTGCTCTGTCACCCAGGCAAGAGTGCTGTGGTACAATCACAGCTCACTGCAGCCTCAACTCCCAGGCTCAGTCAATCTATTCTCCAACCTCAGCCTCCCGAGTAGTTGGGACTACAGGTGTGCACCACCATGCCTGGCTAATTTTTGTATTTTTTTGTAGAGATGGGGTTTCACCATGTTGGCCAGGTTGGTCTTGAACTAGATTGTTCTTTATAACCAGGAGACTTGTGCTTTTTCCATTTTTTTCTCTGGGTCTTTCTACTGGTGCCAGGAGGTGGGATGACTCCCTGGGTTGACCCTGGAGCATCCACTAGTCTCTTACTGTTCTTCCCACCTCAGGGCTGAACATGGGCCCAGTTGTGGCAGGTGTCATCGGGGCCCGGAAGCCGCAGTATGACATCTGGGGGAACACAGTGAATGTCTCTAGCCGTATGGACAGCACGGGGGTCCCCGACCGAATCCAGGTGAGGGGAATATGAGCAGGGGCTGGGAGGAGAATGGGCCCGGAGGGCTTCCATAGGTGTCTCTGCGGTCTGCTAGGACAGGGGTAGGGTGGCTAGTATTCTGTGTTTGGTGGGGCAGGGGTTGGGGGAAGGGAGCTACCCTGGGCCCCTGCAAATGCAGCAGGAAGGATTCCAGGCTAAGCAGGCTCCCCTCCCACTCCCCCAGGTGACCACGGACCTGTACCAGGTTCTAGCTGCCAAGGGCTACCAGCTGGAGTGTCGAGGGGTGGTCAAGGTGAAGGGCAAGGGGGAGATGACCACCTACTTCCTCAATGGGGGCCCCAGCAGTTAGCAGGGCCCAGCCACAAATTCAGCTGAAGGGACCAAGGTGGGCATTGAGAGGACTCTGTGCTCGCTGGGTGGAGCTGTGGCAGGGGGCACTGGGCCTCTAGACCCTGCTAACCACAAAAGGGAACACCACAGCAGGCTGTGCTTGGATTATGCTCTACTGCCCTCAAGCTGGTGAACAAGGGGCTACCTACCAAGAGGATTATTGCAAGTGACTTTCTTTCTTAATTGGGGCAGGGCTGCTCCCTCTCCAATCTTCCAGCTTTTGGGAGCAGGGGAGGGGTCAGTAACAGAAGCAGAGGGAGCTCTCTTGCCTGAGGGATTAAAATGGCAGCTTGCCATGCCTATCCCTTCCCTGTCTGTCTGGGCAGCAGGTTCAGGGCTGGGCCCTTCTTTTCCCTCTTTTTTCCTGGGAATATTTTGTACAATATTTTGTACAAAGATAGGCATGAGGAGTGCCTATTCCATGCTTGCCTTTGCAATACCTGCATCCCCAGCACTGGTCTTGGGCACTTCCCCACCCCAGCCAGGTGTCCCTCCTAAGCACAGGGCAAAGGAGGGAGATGCTCTGGGGAGCCAGCTCTGGCCATATTTCAGGAGAATGTTTCCATGTGCCAAATTGTAGTCCCATGATCTGTCCCCAAAGGGGAACAAAGGGACCTCTGACAGCTTAGATTTAGCCCCAGTTCCTGCACGCTCCAGGGAACGAGGTGTCTGGCCTCACTGGTACTGTGAAAATGCTCAGAGAGCAATCCTGTGTGTGGGGATGTCAGGTCAGGAGCTGGAAGTTCACCTGTAGGTGCCAAAGAACAGGCTGGCCAGGGCTAGGGCAGTGCCAGACTCTGATCTAAGGACCCCAAAGGGGTGCTGATCAGGTCACTCTGCCCCAGTGCTCTCTTGCTGTCTGCTGGCAAGGGGCCATGGAGCATCTCTCCCTCTTCTGTTGCCAAATAGAAAAGGGTCAGGGCATGGAGAAAGATGACCCTGAGCCCAAACCTGCCCTCCCAAGTCTCGCGTTGGGGAGGGCCTGTGTGTTTGTGTAACTGTGTGTGCATGTTGGTCTTTGTGTGCATATCTGTTTTCCAGGTCTGTGTGAGTCCTTGTGCTCCTGCTCCTCAGCTCTCCACCCCAGGTCGCCTCTCTCCTGTGGGCCTCTGTCTTCTGGGAATAAAGCAGGGTTTCCTATTCCAGGGGCTGTAGAGAGATGCCCAGGTTGCACAGGAGTGGGATGGGGTGTGGTAGCAAAAGGAGGGAGAGGAGTCCTTTTTGTGCCAAATCCCTAAGTGCCGTTTGGGGCCATGTGTGCAGCGTGACTCCCCCTGCCTGTGGCAGGGACCCAAGCACTTGCTTGAGCCCCAGTGCTCCATGCAGCACTTGAACTGTCTGGGGTTTGGTGGACAGAGGCTCAGGAATTTCCTGGGTTCCCCAGATAGTGTCCTGGGACATGGTTTGCTTTGGGGCTAGGGTAGCATGGGATCCCTCTGAGGACCCAGATACTGGTACTACGGGCTGGGGAAGGGGAACCTTAAACTTGGCTTTTCCCAGCCTTCATCCTGATTCTAGCATGTTTCTGGCTCCCCAGGCCCTTGTGAAGCCTTGAGGGCTGGCAGAATGGTTAGGAGGTTGAACTCTAGATTCCCTTCCTATCTTTGCCTTCCTTCCTTTCCCTGCAGCCTCCTTGATTCTGGCCTGAATTTGGTTGTGCCTCAGTTTCTCTGTCTATATCTATTTAAGCCAAAGGCACTAGCCTGAATTTTGCTTGAAGATCACTTTGTCTCAGAAATGACTAGAGAGGCAGAGGAGAAGGGTTTCCAGAGTTGCTGGGTTTGGGAGTGGAAGGGGCAGGCAGTGCACTTGCCCTTCTTCATGCGTCTTCTGATACCAGCTCCCTGTGGAGGCCTAGTTTCTGGGTACCGCCTCCCTTGGGCATCTTCATGCACCAACCAAATGGGCCATCAGGTACTTCATTAGTCATGGCAGAAGAGGGGAAAAGACTTGTTACAGACAGAAAATCTGCTCCCCTGCCCCCAGCCATATCCCTGGATAGGAAGGGATAGGAAGAGACTACTTGGTGCCACGAGGTAGGGGTGAGGGTGTAAGTAGATCAGAGTGGGAAGACCTCAGCCTTGGGTGGCTTGTCTCTGCTTCTTGCCAGGTGGGAGGGCCTGTCCACATCCTGGCTCCCTGTACCACAGTGCCAGCCATGCCCTTCCCCTGGGCTACCATTGCCCCTTTCCTCACCAGTTGGTGGAGGAGTCAGGAGATGGGAGGCCATGGGCTTTGGTTTTATAATGTAACCACTGTGGGAGGGGGGAGGATGGTGTACCATGTATTTCAGTGAAATATTTAATATATTTAAATATCAATAAAATCAAACTCTTTGTAAAATTCCCTGTTCTGTGTAGCTGTTCTGGGCCCTGGGTGGGTCAGAAGTGACAGAGCCTGATGTAGAAGGCAACCTCCTGCCCCAGGGCTCTGTGGGCCTCTTGTCTGTGGTCAGAGGACTTCCTGTGGCTTTCTCCTTGCTAAGGAGAAGCTGCAGTATCTTCAGAGTGTGACTACTCAAGGCCTTTCAGCATCATGAGCTCCAGTGTGTGCCTTCCCAGATTTATTACGCTGACCCCTGCTATGCATGAGGCCCGAGGTTCTTTCCAGTGCCTTGGCCCCTTGCAGACCTCTCACTCCAAGGTCTTGCTCATTCAGGAATCTCTCCCAAACCACCTCTCACAACAACCTGGGCACTGGAATCACCCCACCCTCACCCCACAACTCCCCCAGTGCACACAAGCAACTTTTAGTCCAATCTGTTTACTCTGCTTTCTCCACCACCTCCTCCCATTAGTCAGCCATCAGAACTGGGAAACCCCCTTCTTTCCTTCTCTTTAAACTCTTTCAACAATTCATCTTGTCTTTCTGCAGCCGCATCTTATTAATATAGACCGAAGGTTCTGTCATTGAGAATAGAGTGATCCATAAACCTAGAAAGAAGAGATTCAGAGAGAAATTCAGCCAGGCCAGGCTGGAGGGCAGGAGATCCTTAAAAATAGCTCCTAAGAGGCCAGGCGCGGTGGCTCACGCCTATAATCCCAGCACTTTGGGAGGCCAAGGCAGGCAGATCACCTGAGGTCAGGAGTTCAAGACTAGCCTGGCCAACATGGTGAAACCCTGTTTCTACTAAAAATACAAAAATTAGCCGGGCGTGGTGGTGGGCACTTGTAATCCCAGCTACTTGGGAGGCTGAGGCAGGAGAATCACTTCAACGCCCAGGCGGCAGAGATTGCAGTGAGCAGAGATTGTGCCATTGCACTCCAGCCTGGGTGACAGAGCGAGACTCCATCTCACAAAAAAAAAAAAAAAAAACAAAAGCTCCCAAGACTGCCTCAGGGCAGAATGAGTAGGTATAGTGATGAAAAAGTAGGGCTGCTGCTGGGCGCCCTGGCTCACACCTGTAATCCCAGCACTTTGGGTGGCCCAGGCTAGTGGATTGCCTGAGGTCAGGAAAGTAGTCTTGGCCAACATGGTGAAACCCTGTCTTTATAACAAAAAATAAAAAATTAAAAAAAAAAAAAAAGTAGGGCTGCTGCCAATGGGTAATTTGAGGGGTGGAGAGGTAGTGAGGAAGGCAGCATTGGGCTGCCACAGGAATACTATGGACACTTGTTTTGCACCAGCTCAGAAGTCACACCCACAAAGAGAAACACAAAGACAAATCTATAACTCCTTTGAATGCATCATGGCCCAACTTCTGGGGCCAGTTTTCTCTGATAAGACTCAAATCTCTCCTTCTATTTCCCTAACCTGACCAGAGATGAAATAGTCTCTATTTAAGGGAAGGGAAGGAGTACTTCCCTTCAACTCCCCACGTTTTCCCCTCCCAGCCTAACCTGGTCATCGCGCTGTTTATGAGACAGTGTCGTGGGCCCCGTATCCATGGCATGATTTCCTCTGGACGTACTCCTGGATCATGGGAACGCCAGAAGCTGAAGTTCTGAGAGTCAGTCAAGGGGACTCTGAAGACCTGATTGGGAACTGAATGGGTGGGGGGAAGGGCAGGTTATCTAATTCCTTCAAGTTCTCTGCTCACTTTCCTGCCTCAGGGCAGCAATAGCCCAGCCCAGCCCAGCCCAGCCCAGCAACTGCTGGGCCTGACCAGGTGCTGAGAGGTCCTGGGAGTGTGGTCACCACACCCTGCTTCACTTCCGGATTCCAGCATCTCACACCCTTCATGGTCAAATGACTGTCTTGGTTCTTCCTGCTGCTAGTAAGCCCATCTCCAAGAGAGCTTTCTCCAAGTGCTAAGATGGTAGAAAAACAAGTGGCCCACCCACTTGGGAAATGTGTAAAAATAATAGGTCCACTGATCTATTATTTTTCTTTTTTCTTGGCTTTTTTCTTTCTTTCTTTCTTTCTTCTTTTCTTTTCTTTTTTCTTGGCTTTTTTCTTTCTTTCTGTTCCCTCCTCTTGGAAAAAAATGCCTTCCTTTGCTCACTTCAGGTAATTCTCTGAAACCTAACTGATACCACCTCACATTTAGATGCTATTAATAGATGTCATTTATCTAGTGTCTATCATGTTCTAGATGTGGTATTAAATATTTTTAAATTTTTTGAAATAATATCAGATTCAGGTGCTGTTTGAAAAAGTACTTTTGGCCAGGTGTGGTGACTCATGCCTGTAATCCCAGTACTTTGGGAGGCCAAGGCAGGCGGATTACTTGAGATCAGGAGTTTGAGACCAGCCTGGCCAACATGGTGAAACCCCATCTCTACTAAAAATACAAAAATTAATCGGGCATGGTGGCAGACACCTGTAATCCCAGCAACTTGGGAGGTTGAGGCAGGAGAATTGCTTGAACCCGAGAAGCAGAGGTTGCAGTGAGCTGAGATTGTGCCACTGTACTCCAGCCAGGGCAGCAAGACTGTATCTCAAAAAAAAAAAGGAAAGAAAAAGGTATTTTTGGCCGGGCGCTATGGCTCATGCCTGTAATCCTAGCACTTTGGGAGGCCGAGGTGGGTGGATCACCTGAGGTCGGGAGTTCAAGACCAGCCTGGCCATCATGGTGAAACCCCATCTTTAAAAAAAAAGAAAAAGAGCTGGGCGCGGTGGCTCACGCCTGTAATCCCAGCACTTTGGGAGGCTGAGGCTGGTGGATCACGAGGTCAACAGATCGAGACCATCCTCGTCAACATGGTGAAACCCCGTCTCTACTAAAACTACAAAAAAAAAATTAGCTGGGCATGGTGGCGCGTGCCTGTAATCCCAGCTACTCAGGAGGCTGAGGCAGGAGAATTGCCTGAACCCAGGAGGCGGAGGTTGCGGTGAGCCGAGATCGCGGCATTGCACTCCAGCCTGGGTGATAAGAGCGAAACTCCGTCTCAAAAAAAAAAAAAAAAAAAAAAGGAAAAGAAAAAGAAGTATTTTTACTATTTATTTAGATATGTCTAATTCTACCAGTAAAAAATTTGTATATTTTTAAAACTTAGAATTATAGTCTAATATTCTGGATTGCTATATAGTGTTTATAATCATTTTTTTTTTCTTTTTTGAAGCGGAGTCTTGCCCAGGCTGGAGTGCACTGGCAGGATCTTGGCTCCTTGCAACCTCCGCCTCCCAGGTTCAAGCGATTCTTCTGCGTTAGCCTCCCTAGTAGCTGGGACTACAGGTGCGTGCCACCACGCCTGGCTAATCTTCTGTATTTTTAGTAGAAATGGGGTTTCACTGTGTTAGCCAGGATGGTCTTGAATCTCCTGACCTTGTGATCCGCCTGCCACAGCCTCCCAAAGTGCTGGAATTACAGGCATGAGCCATTGTGCATGGCCTATAATAATTTTTTTAAAATTCCTAATTCATTGAGTAGGTGTTATGTTTTTTGCTTATTTTCCTACAAATTAATAATAAGCTAGTGAAAAGTTTTGCTATTAGAGGCTGGGTGTAGTGGCTCACATCTGTAATCCCAGCACTTTAAGAGGCAGGTGTATCGCTTGAGCCCAGGAGTTCCAGACCAGCCCAGGCAACATGTTGAAACCCCATTTCTACAAAAAGCATAAAAATTAACCCAGCATAGTGGCACACACCTGTAGTACCAGGAGTCTGAGATGAGAAGGGTCATTTGAGCCTGGGAGGTTGTTGAGGCTGCAGTGAGCAGTGATTGGGCAGCTGCACTCCAGCCTGGGTAACAGAGCAAGACTCTGTCTCAAAAAAATAAAAATAAAAATAAATTAAGTTTTGCTATTAGAAATAACTTACTACCCCTCTTTCCACATGTGCCTGTTTTGATTTCTGAAAGTATTTTAGGTTTTTAAGCTTTAGTTTTGTTATAATTATAGGTTCACATACAGTTGTAACAAATAATACAGGGAAACCAGGTGCAGTGGCTCATGCCTATAATCCCAGCACTTTGGGAGGATCACTTGAGCCCAGGAGTTCAAGACCAGCCTGGGTAACATAGCAAGATTCTGTCTCTATTAAAACAAACAAACAAACAAACAAACAGCAGGGAAATCCTGTGTAGAATTTACCCTTCCCCACAATGGTTACAACTTACAAAACTATAGTACACTACCACAACATGGTATTAATATATTGAATATATTGATACAGAACAGTTCCATTGCCACCCATCCTGGAGTTGCCATTTTATAGCCACCCTCCCCCACCTCACCCCCACTTTAGAAATCAGTGATCTGTTCTTCATTTCTGTAATCTCATTTTAAGAATGTTATAAGAATGTTATATAAGAATGTCATAATAGCACACTCAGTGGTTGTGTATTCGCCTCTCTATATTTTCTTGCAAGTCACCAAAGTATTAGATTGCTTTCTTTTTAAAGCTCTTCTAGGATCCCCATTGCGATTAAAATCCAAGTTACTCTACTCTGGCCTGTAACACATTTTCATGATCTAACCCCTGCCCAGCTCACTGAACTCTTTTTTTTTTTTTGAGATGGAGTTTCACTCTTGTTGCCCAGGCTGGATGGCATGATCTCAGTTCACTGCAACCTCTGCCTCCTGGGTTCAAGCAAGTCTCCTGCCTCGGCTTCCCGAGTAGTTGGGATTACAGGTGCCTGCCACCATGCCCGGCTAATTTTTGTATTTTTTAAGTAGAGACAGGGTTTCATCATGCTGGCCAGGCTGGTCTCACAAACTACAAACCTCAGGTGATCTGCCTGCTTCAGCCTCCCAAAGTGCTGGGATTATAGGCGTGAACCACAGAGCCCAGACCCCTACATGCTTTTTAATTAATTAATTTATTTTTTTTGAGACAGAGTCTCACTCTGTCACCCAGGCTGGAGTGCAATGGTGCAGTCTCGGCTCACTGCAACCTCTGCCTCCTGGGTTCAAGCAATTCTCCTGCTTTAGCTTCCCGAGTAGCTGGGATTACAGGCGCCC